ATTTTAGCCTTTTTAGTGTTAGATTAAATTTCTTCCAAAAATCACAACAAAATAAGTACTGATTTGAAAAACTGAAATAAATATACTTTAATTGAATCTTGAACCACTTTTCCAATTTGAAATTTTGACGCTTTGTAGTTTTGTGGCCCTAAAATGTGTTTGTGTGTGTGTGTGTATATATGTGTGTGTGTATGTGTGTGTGTGTAATTAAATATGTGTGTAACAATTTTATATTTTTTAACAATTTATAACTAATATATTTAATTAAATAAACAAGGATAAAGAGTTTGTTCATGTAAAAGCAGAAACCATATGTTCTTCGACTATATACAACTGCTCGTGTAAAACATTCTCATCGTGCTTTTTTCAATCAGAAGATACAACAAATGTCAATAATTGTTGTCATTGTCGGCTGCTAAACCAGTTAATGCAAATGCTTAATGATCCTAAATTCATCCCAGAAAATAGTTTATTAAGCAAAAAAAAACTTATGAATAGTTTAATCTATCTCACATCAAATGTTTTTAAGTTAACTTCCAAATCTGGAGTTGAAAGATATTCTGTAGTTGCTGATTCCTGTGCTTTTGTTACGATTTTTGAAATTTTGAAATCATCACGCAAAGTAATCAAATGTCATGATTCAGAGTGTCAAGTATCTGAAGGATCTACTCGTCAGATTAATAATCTACAAAATGGTTGCTTATGTCCGCACCTAAAAGTCTTTAGAGAATATTTTTATCTTCTTCAAAACACAGGAGAATCAATTTCTAATGACTCTGAGTTAGAAGATAATATTCATTTACCAAGGGAAAAGGTTTTTAATTTGTTTTTTTTAATAATTTTTTTTTGCTTTTTTGTTTATTATTTGTGTAAATTTTTGTTCTAATAGTGGGAAGATGTTTTTAATGTTGCATCTGGTTTATGGACATTTGGAATTAATGCACCAAGTAAAAAGACTGTTTCTCATGACCAATTTAATAAAAAGTTTAGCAGTGACATTGTAAATAGGCAGTCTGCTACCAATGGACATCGGTTTATACCTTCTATTGATCTAGACATCTGTGACTGTGGTGTAAGAATGATTTTTAAAATTTTTTTTTTGTTATAAACATTTGATTAATTGTTTCAATAAAAATTGATTCAAAGTATTTTTACAGACTCTTTAGCCGTGAAGATGTGTAAATCTTAGGTATCTTAAAATGTGGTAAAGTATAAAGTATATTGATAGGTCACCCAGCTACTGGTAACATGTAATCTAGTACAACCTGCTTTGCAAGGATGGCCTTCTGGTTATAAAAAATTGCTTTAACTCTTCCATGATGATGATTTTATTTTTTTTAATTTTCATAAAATACTTTTCATTTTTATTTTATTACAGGCTGGGTGGGTATCTGAATCTGTTTTATCTGGTTATACAGAATTTTACCATAAAATAAATATGTATACAGATTGGGAAGTAATTGAATGTGATATTTTTTTGAGAAAATGTTTATCCAATACTTGTACATCTTATTGGGATGGCTGTGAAGACTCTGTTTTTTGTTTATCTAAATCCACTTGTGCAGGTTATGAATTAGGTAAAAAAATCTCATCAATTGAATGTGATGTTGTTGTTTTATTTTTTTTGGGAGGGGGGAGTGATGCATTTAATTTGCTCAATAATTAAGTTAATTTTTGAATTTGAATTTTTTCAGGTTGGGAGTTTGTTGATTTTGTTTTGTCGAAAGGAACATTTAGTGGTTTTGTTAGTTTGTATTCAAACAAATATAAACGTAGAAGTACCTCTCTTTTGCCATTTATGTCTACACAGACATTTATTGATTGGTTTTTTGCTTGGGCTTCCCATATGCACATTGACTTTAGAGAAAAATGTCATATGTGCCCAGAAAATCAACAAATACCAGTTTTAGCATGTGATGCAACTAAAATCGGAATCAGCTTCAAAAATTCATTTGTAAAACCTATAGAGTCACCTGAACTTAATGAGATTATTCCTACACCGTTGCGACGACTAGATAGGTCATTTATATTTAATTCCATAAAATTAGATTCTAAACAGTTTTCAGATGCTAGGGTTTATCTAAGAAAGGTTTGTATTTTTATTCTGTCTGTTGACAACTCTGATTTTATAAATTTTGATGCTGATACATTAAAGTTGAACTCAATTCTTGTGGACTACATTCCTCCTGAATGCGTACCATCATTTCAGCTAATGGTTTCTGAATCACCTGTTCCAAATCTTTTGCGATTGTCTTATGCCAAAGTTTTTAAAATTCTTGCTGCTGATAGCTCCCTAGATTCATTAATTCCATTGCGATTTACTGATGAAATTGTTTGTATATGTGAACAATTTTTATCCAATCAGGGTGATTGTGAACTTGTTGTTAAATTTTGTTATTTATTGCGTTGTTTTTCTCCAGAGCTAGCAAGACTCGTTGAAATATCCTCCAACTTCAACAATACACCTTCTGGTGATATTTTGGTATTAATACAATATTGTTGCAACTTTGTAAAAAAAATTCATTTTAGTGATGTTCAACCAAATAATGCAGAAGTCATTGAAGGTACTTATAATCCACCACGATATGGTAGAGCATATTATTTTGAAAAACATGGGTGCCAAATAAGGAAAATGCGATTGTTTTCTGCAGATAAAAACTCTAATAGTAACCTGTTTGATGATATTCCATCAGAAATTTGCAATAAAGTGTTTCCACAAGTATCAAAAAAAGGTGTATCTTTTCTTTTTTTATGGTTTTGCCCTATGCATGGCCATTGCTATGGGTTCCATATTATTCCAGGATCTGAGGGAAGGAAAGACCCGCATGCTTCATTGTATACGCACCTTGAAATTGCTCCGGAAAATGTTGTTTATGACTTTGCTTGCAGCTTGTCAGAGTTTTGTCATAACCGTGAATCTGGATATTTTAAAAATACCTCTTTTTTTCATGATGTATTTCATGGTTATACGCACAAATGTGCAGATGTCTTTCGGTGTAACCGTTTGGGTAGTTTTTATCCAATAAATTCATCTATCTGCGAACAATTTAATAGCTTTTTACAAAATATAAAATCTTCTGCTAAATTAATGACACAAACTCATTTTTGTTTTTATCTTCAATTTTTTATATATATTTGGAACCAGCGGAAAAAAAATTTATTTGAAAAAAGAGTTATTGTATCTGAATATACTAAAGATTGACTAAAGTGGAACATAATGTATAGTATAAAACTTGCTGAAGTCATTTTTAAAAATCAGGTGCCATTATGGTTGACTTTAAAAAATTTACTGTAATCAATATGTTTAATATAAACTGTAATCAAGATGTTACAGAAAACTATTTATTATTTATATTTTAGTTAAAAAAAAATTTCTTTATAGTTCATTCTATATTTATAAAGAATTGTTTGCTGACTGATTGTCTGTTTCAGTTCATTCCATTAGTGGAATACTGAAATAGTCATTCAGATAGTTTTGTGTGTCAACATGCTACTAGAAGATTCTTTATTTGACACAGAAATTCGATTTCACTCTATGAAAAAGGTTAGATAAATGTTCTTTACTAATATATTAATGCTGTTGTTTTAGGAACATTACCTATTATTAACATCTTTATATTTTTCATATTATATATATTTTTTAATAATTTTATAATTTTTTGTTCTTAATTTTATGTAACATGTAAAAACCTAGCCAAACTTTGAAAATGAATATGTCTTGAATAACACAAGTTACCGATTTTATTTTTCAGTCTAAAATCAATGGCTTTTTTTTTTTCAATCGCTTACAAAGTGCCTTTTTTGATCATTCGAGTTTTTAGACACTTTTACTAAGTTTCTAATTTTTTTTTTTTAATATTTAGTTTGTATACTTAAACCGCAAAGTCCTAAAATTTACTTGTAACATTTTATATATCAGGACCGGCGATTCTTGTATATTAATATTGCGTCTTGGCCTAATCGATTTTTTACTATGAAGTCATTACTCCTATATGCATAATAATAAATTTCAAATATTGTAAATAATGAAGGAAAGGCATATAAAAAAAATCTAAAAAACAAAGGTTACTTTGAACTAAGTTCAAATTACGTTTGACGGTATATAATTTACGAAGTTACATTCAGTTATCGCACATTAACTTTAAAACCAAATAACCAAATAAATTTTATTATAACATAATACGGAGATAAGAAGGCATAAGGGAGAATCCATATATAGTACGTAGGCAGTAAAACCACAATCTACGTACTTTATGAATCTATGTACTTAAAGCATATATTATTATAAGCAATCATTTTTAGATTCTTTATTAGCCGATAAATTAAAACCAAAAACAAATGTTATAAAATTAGTGGTATAGTAAAACAAAGAATGAAGCTTCAGATAATATATAACATATACATATACATTAGGGTGTGTTAATTTTAATGTTTATGATGATCTAGTTTTGTTATCTCGGGGAATTAGTATATAAGGCAAATAATTTTAACATAAAAATATATGTATTTATAAAATAAATATTTAAGTCTTGATATCAAAAGACACGTACTTATCACTGGAAAAGTGCTTTACAATGTAACCCCCTTTTATTTTTTAAATATTTATCTTTCATAGAAAAGTATACTTCAATACACGACACAATGTCGTCAATAATAATTTTTTTAACTTTGTGCAACTTTAGCTAGGCATTGCTCAGTTGAGATAAACCTTTTCAAAAATAAAATATTTATAAGGTTTATTGATTTTAATATTTATACTCGACTAAAACTGGCTCTTTGGCGTGATTTAATGTTCATTTTCCCTCGTGTAAGAAAACTTGTCCTTCTACAGCTGCTCGAGTCTTTTGTTCAATTACTAATATAATTTCAATGCCTAGAAAAAAAGTCTCTCGACCGCCGAATTAACGGGAGAGGACTTTCAATATTTATTCGACCTCCCCTTCTCCGAGCTTATTACAACTCCCCTGTTTATTAATTTTGAAGCGACTTAAAATATTTTCCTTATATTTTTACTTTGAGAAAAAGATTTATTTCAATAATAGATGAAAATATGAAAAACGAACCAAAAAAACTGTTTTAAAACTCCAGTTTATAAAGCCCCCCCCCCATGTTTATTGGATTTTAGAGAAATTTCCGACCCTACCTTTTATTCGATAGACGAGAGTACAAAGTTTTAACTACGAGGCTTTAAATTACTTTTAATACTTCCGATGGATTGGGTATTACTCAGGCTTGTGGAGCCGCAAGTTTTTTTCACGGCTCGGGTCCGACTACCGAATTTTATATATATACCCTACTTGAAATGAACAAACATAATTCAAACATACCTGGGAAATTCTAAGAGAAGTTACTGGCATGCAAAAAACAAAAACATGCACACTGCCTGTAATCTTAAAATTTAATGATAAATTATTGTCCAATCCAAAAATGATATGTGATGAATTAAATAAATTCTTTGTTTCAGTTGGCCCAAATCTTGCAAAAAAAATTCCTTTCTTAAGAGAAAAAAAGATTAAAGGGTTTACAAAAAAATACTCTTTTGTATTTTTAAACTGGAATTATGTTTATAAGTTGAAAGTTTAATTTTTTTTTTCTATACCTTTTACTTTATGCTCAGAGCAAGCATTTGTAATTTTAATTTAAAATTACAAATGCTTGCTTTGAAAAAAAAATGTAAATTTTAACTTATGAACATATTTTAAATGAATATAATGAATATAATCATTTAAAATTTAAATGATTATATTCATTTGAAAACGTGTTCATAAGTTAAAATTTGAATACATTTTTTTTCTAAACATTTTACTTTGAACCACTTATTTGTTTCAGTTGTAAACTAGTGAATTTAAAATATTTGGTTTCCATCTTAATTTTTTTATTTTATTATTTTATTTTATTTATTTTATTTTTTTTTTGGGGGGGGCGGGTTATCGAATGTTGACGTTATTTTAAAGGGGGTCACTGAAAGTTTGACAATTTGTTGACAAGGGGGAGGAGGGAGGTAAAAATTGCAAAAAATTTGTTGACGTAATTAATGGACAACCCTATATAAACGTAGTCTAATTCAATTATATTTCACTTTTATCCATTGTCATTTAAACTCTGCAATTATTGCTTGGTTCAATGCCAATAAATGTAAACTGGAGCCTCTTTATCGTTAACAGAAGCATGTTGCTCGTCTTATTAATTTTAAAAACAGATTTACTCATACCAAGCCTCTTTTATTTGAAATTAAAATTCATATATACCAGCTGAATGTTCTTTGTTTTATGTATAAATAAAAAACTAACTATTCCCTAGTTTCTTTCCATAATTTATACACGCTGAAATATAAAAATAAATACATTTTAAGAAATGATAATTTAATTCGTCAACCATTTTTTCAGACTAATTTTGGAAAATCTAGTATTTCTTTTCGAGGAGCATTTCTTTGGAACAAAATAGTTTTAAAACATTTTAATTTTTAACCAGTTATTCTTAATTAATTTTTTGAGAAAGGTTCAAAAAACGATTCAGTTTTTGCTAATTTTTTATGGTTGACCTTATATTTCTATTTAAAAAATTTGAAGATATAAAAAATAAGTCTTTGCAAAAGTTTCTTTTCGTATAAAGTTACGCAACTTTTCTTTCAAGTTTATGCTATTCAAATTTTGATTGGATAAATAAGATTTTTAATCGTTACGTTTGAAAAAAATAAAAAGGTTTTATCTGAAGTCTTTTTTCTAAAAAAAATCGTTTTAAATAAATAAAACGACAGATTGCTTCAAAAAAAAGTTTTATCTGAAGTCTCTTTCTAAAAAAACGTTTTAAGTAATCGGAAAAACAGATTGTTTCAAAATATCTGAGTTTCCTTTTTTTTTATTTTTTTTTAATCGTTATTCAAGCTATTAAGAAGGCTATTCAAGATTTCATTTTTTTCACTTTTCTTTAATGAAGTCAACAAAAAATCTTCTTTTAAAGTGCCAGTCAGTAGAAGTTCAGTTAAATTCTAAAGGTTTAACAGCTCTAAAGATAAACAGGCTAAAGGAATACCGCTACCTAAAAGGCTTTATAAAAACAAACTGGGTGATCAAATTTTGAAATTTTCTGCTTTACTCTAAAACGCAGTGAATAGCTAGTTAAAAAAAATTCTAGAAGCAGTTAATAAGTATACCTCGAAGAGGTTGAGTGATTGTATCATTCTTGCTAGAGTATTTTGGCAAAAGCTAGCCTCAGAATTTCAAAAAAAAGAAAAATATTATGTGTTTGATTGATGATGGAGTATGATTAATATTAACTTTCTAATTAAGTTGTTGCAGTTGGAAAGCTTTGGAAAAAAACCCATGTATTTTCAACAGTAGATGTATACTTTATTATTTAAACCATATAAAAAATGTTTTGGAAAATTATTGTCCAATTATTTGTCCAAAAAGTTGAAACTATGGAATATAGTTGAAACTTGCTACAAAAACAAATGGATAACGATGGAAAAGCAGCAAACTTTACATCAGGTGTGCAAAATGAGTTCTATTTTAGTTTAATTAAAGTTACAAGGCAGCCCATTTAGCTGTGAACTAGACATTATTGAAGTAGATAAAGATATGTTAAAATGAAAAAAAAGTTCGAAAAATGAGGTTCTTTATTTTAAGGATACAATGTAGGTCATTATCGCGGAGATCTACTCTGTTTAAATACATGATTGTTGATATAAAAATACAAACCTCCATTTTATGTCTACCAAAGACGACATAAAATGGAGGTTTGTATTTTAATATCATAACCTAGATGATCTACATGGAAAGTTCCCGCAACAATCTCTATCGCATATGATGACTTTTATAGTTATTTTCCATTTTCAATAGTAAACAACAATAGTAAACAACTGTATGAATTACTTTCATAGATAATACTTAATTTTTTTTGTTACTTATAAATCATAAGGTATATTATTGATAAATTAAACAGAAAAAGGTTTCTACTTTTCTTATATTTAATGATAATAATAATTTCATCTATTTTTAACAATGACTTTTTTTGTCAATATATTCACTTTTATTAAAATTGAAGTAGAAGGCTAAATAATTAAAATAAAAAAAAATGATTATGATTTTCAGAATCAGCATGAAAAACTAATTAAGAAAAAATGGTTAAACTATAAAAAATTTAAAAAAAGATGATTATGAACCTCCCCTACTTAAAGAAATCATTTTGTCACATGATATACTGTCATATTTTTAAACTTTATTAATTTGATCATGGAAGTGCGTAGAGATAGACGTGCAACCTTTTGTTTTACATTAAAGAAACCGCCAAAATCAGCGAGCTAAGCGTTTTATCAAAATATTCCGTTGTTGCGTTAAATAAGTAGCCCGTTAAATAAGTAGACAAACAGTTTTGCGCATGCGTTTTTACATGCGCAGATGTGCTGTTAAGTGTCCGTTAGGTAAGTAACATTTATCGTTAAATAAGTAACCTCGTTCCGTTAGGTACAGTTAGAGTTTATTTGGATTTCATTTTTAGCCATATTTAACTATTTAATTTATTATAAAATGTCAGCTCACAGTTATTTTGTTGAAGATATTAAGCTTTATCTTTATAAAGGAGAAGTAAATTGCTCTAAATCACAGCGTAAATCATTTTTAAAATATGCAAATAAGTTCAAACTATGCGGTATGTAATCGTTGTATAATAAATTGTTGAATAAGTAATAATTATTTTTAATAAACAATAATTATTTTTATTGAATAATCACTAACTTATTATATACTTCAGATAGTAAGTTGTACTATGTAATAGCGTCAAAAAACCTGCAAGTTCTATTTAATGACAATGAAAAAATGCTTTTTTTTGTAAGCTTTAGAGATGTTTATGATTCTAATCATGCGGCTCATGTTGGCCTTAACAATACAAGAGCAAAATTAAAAGGTTCTTTCTACTGGCTAGGTAATATTATTGTCTTTTTATAATAGTACTTTTTTAATTTCTATAAGGTTTTTAAGCTCTTTTAAGTATTATACCGTTCTTGAACTTAATTGCTAGACAAATTAAATTAAAACATGAATTAATATCAGTTCATGATATCAAAAGATAGAGTACAGCCCTATTTTTTTAAATTTGGTCATGTTTTGGTTCATGTCAAACTTTTGTTTTTGTTGAATTGTTAGGAATGGTTAATGACATTACCAAATGTGTTAAAGAATGTGACAAGTGTCAAAGAATGGAAAAAATAAGAACTATTGCTCCCGAATTAAAATCTATCAAGGTTAATGGACTGTGGGATTTTTTAGGCATAGACCTAATCAGACCTCTTCCAATTACAAAGCTTGGAAACAAATATATTTTAACAATAACTGATCTTTGGAGCAAATATATTGAAGCTTTTCCTATTCCTGATAAGCCGGCATTTTATGTTTCTAAGTGCCTTACTACTTTGTTCTATAGGTTTGGTCCTCCAAAAAAAATTCTATCAGATCAAGGTAGGGAGTTTGTAAATAGTTTAAATGAACAATTATTCTTTTTATTTCAAATCAAACACTTGATAACCTCTGCCTACTACCCTCAAACCATTGGACAAGATGAAAGAACTAATCAGACAATTAAAAAATCTCTCTCTAAATTATCTAATGATACCCAGGACAATTGGGATGAATTGTTAGAAGCTGTTTTATTTGGTCTGCGCACATGTGTGCAAAAGTCAACTAAATTTACACCCTTTTTTTTAATGTTTGGCAGAGAAGCAAACTTATTCTCTACTTTATCACTGAATAATAGTGATTCTGGTACTAATGACAATAACATTGTTGAAAGTAATGCCTTGGATGAGCAAATTCAAGAAAAATATAATAATAAACTTCATATAATAAAGTTGTTACAGAAGTAAATAACAATATTTGTCATGCCCAAACAAAAATGAAAAAGTATTATGCCTCAAAACAACTTAAAGGATAGAAATCATTTACATTTAAAACAGGCGATCAAGTTTTAGTTAGAAATTACAGAAAAATAGATTGTAAAGGAAGTCGGATGGAACATGATTGGTTGGGACCTGGAATTATTTCAGAGTTAAAACAAACTGGTGCTACTTTAACCGCCAATGGTAAAGTTTGGAAAAAAGCTGTTTCTTTATCCAACATGAAGCCTTATATAGCTGATAAGCAACTATTGTTGGCTGAATTGCTTTTAAAAAAACATGATTATTGTTTAAAAATGAAAAATCGATCATATAAAAAAGAAGATTTAAAAAAAAGGAGTTCTAAAAAGAGGCACATATCAGAATTGAAATGTTATGACAAAGATAAAAAATATAAATCTGGTAAAATGGAAATCACTACATCATCTCTATCTGACGATAAAAGCATTTTAAAACATAAAAGATTGATTTATCCTGCAATTTTTCTAGATAACAATTTTTATTCAACATTATCAGCACAGTCAATCAAACAATGTATAGATATTTTAAATAATCCCTTTGGTTGGCTAGATGATACTTTAATTGATATTGCACAAAGTTTTCTTTCGCATCAGCTTCCTAAAGTAGGTGGATTGCAAAGTTCTTGTATTTTTAATTCAAATAATTTTGGTGGTTTTGTTTCTGGAAAGTTTGTTCAGATATTTAATGTGAGGAATTCATATTGGGTATTAATAAGTAATGTAACCTCTGATAATGGTTCAAGTTCTGTTCAATATTATGATTCCCTTTTTACTGGTTTTAATAAAAGTACTGTTCCATTACTAGTACACAGAGTTGCACGATCAATGTTGATAAATGAGGGTATTGCATTCATAAATTTAAAAGTCATGAGATGCCAGAATCAAGACAACGGAAATGATTGTGGGCTTCATGCTAATGCTACAGCCTTATGTCATGGCATTGATCCAAGTGTAATTCTTTGGGAACAAAACAGTATGAGATCTCATTTTTTGAAGTGTGTTGAGAATAGAAAACTAGAGATGTTTCCTTACACTTTATTAAATGATACAAAAACCTGCTCAATATCATTTCAATGTGATGATCTCTGTCCTTGCGCATTAAAATAATGATTCTGTTTTGTGTCTTAACATCAAGAAAATATTTAAATTATAAGCTTGTACAATATATGCGAATGTTTATTTACAATATGTAATACGTTGACAACATGTGATGATCAAGTTTTCATTTATTTTTTATGTTTAAAAAACTTATATCAGAATCCCTGTAAATATAATAATTCCTATAAAATATAATAATCCCTAAAAAAATAATATAATAAATTTATTGGTCTTAATTTTTATTGTGGATCACTATTTTCTGAAGTTTGTGTTTTGTGAGGACATTTACTGTATCAAAATATTGTAAATAAATCTAAAAAATAATTGCCTTTTTGAAAAAAAAAGGATAGTATTTTAAGTCTAGTATTATTTGAGTCAGTACTTTAGCTTGTTATTAATTTAGTTTTAGATTAGACTTTACTTTTGTTAGACTAGAGTTTGCTCAATTTTATATTAGAGTTATATATAGAGTTTTTAAACTGAATATATTAAGGAAGCTTTTTAAAAATTTGTAAATTGTTTTTTCAATTTTAAGTCACTTAACTTTATTAAAGTATTGCTATTTTAAATATTTAATCAAAAACTTTTAGTTTCATTTAGATTTGCAATATTTGTGTAATATTAAGACATTTGAGGTTGTTGAATCCATTTCAGGTTATAAGAGTATTTTAAACTAACTTAGTATTACCTTTTTTTTTATTATTTATTTTGAATACAAAGATTTTTAAATGAAATTTTTCAATAAAATATTTGCATATTTAATTTACTAATTTAAAAAAACTTAATAAATGCATACTACATTATTATTTTCTAGTAAATAATTGTCCTTTTTTTTAGAAATGACAAGCTAAGCTCCTTGGTTACAAGCGGTAAAAGATAACCTTTTAGGTAAACTCAATCTCTGATGTTTGTTTGCAAAGACAAGTAAATTCCAATCTAGCAGAGGTAAACGTTAAGGGACAGATTTAAAAACAAAGTAAATGTAAATTAATTTTTAGCTAATAAATGTTTATAGTTTTATTATGTTATCGTAATTAATTGTAAATCTTTTTTCCGCATAAATTTGTCTTGGATGTGTTTTTTTCATTGGAATTAAGAGTTATGGAATAAAATTATTGGATTTTGCTAATTTTTGCAATTTTTCATGAACTTACCATTCCAGATTAAATAATGCGATGAAAGTAACTGTTTCATTGAGCATTTTCTATCAGCTGCAAAAATCTTATTGATTTTTTTAAAAATATTTCTGACGTAGGCTGCTTTATTTGTAATGCTGTTGCTACAAAACAACTCTTTAAAATATTTACCTTTTCAATAATTTAGTATGATGCCTTGGAATCTTACTATTGATTTTTTAACAAGAAACTTTTCTAAAGTAAAATTACAAAATTTAGATTAAAAAAACTCATTTTAACTTTAAATTAATATTTCTTTTAAACTTAATAACATTACACTTATCTGAAATATTTTCACACCTTGTAGTATTATTATGCGATATTTGTTTAATGTCAAACTATCCTATTGATATTTGAATAAGGATAGGGAAACCCAGAGCAAGATAACTAACGTTTTATTATTCTTAATTTTTGCAAAGTATTTTTTAAAAGAAAATAAAAATGAAAAATCCTCAGAACAAGTCAGGATATTGTTACCATAACAAATGAAAACTTAGTAACTACAAAACAGAATTGTTAGTTCTTGGCCTTGGCCTTGTCTTAAGGCCAAAAAAAAAGACTTTGGTCGTGGTTTGGCCTTGAAACTTTTGTCCGTAAAAATTTCGGTTTTTAACCTTGGTTTATTTTTATAACATGTGGTTTATTGTCACAGCAATTGTTACCTTCAGTTTTGTTAATAGTTGACCTTAACGTAAGCCAAAAATTTAAGTCTTTGGCCTTGAAAATGTTTGCGTAGGCCTTAGCCGTAAAAATCTTATTCTTGGCCTTGCCGTTAAAACTCTTGGCCTTATCCTTGACTTTGTAACTTTTGGCCATGGCCATGCTACTTTTGGCCTTGTTAACAACATTGCTACCGAGCACTTTTTCTAAAGTATTGCAAAATAAACACGCATTGCAAAAAGCATTCCAAAGAAGGATACGTCATTAGAATAACATCTATAAGCAGTTATCCTAACCGTAACATCATTTTTTTTTTTTATGGAAAAAAAAACTTATGCATATAAAACGACGTTACCAATGTTTAAACAAAAAAAAAAATGTTAATTTATATACAAACTACTAAATGAAAAATATGCGGTTTCATTTCCATCCATTTACAAATGTTTTTTTTGTGATTGAAAAATTAATCGTGCCTCAATTTCTTAAATTTATTTTTACTAAATAAAGTTAATGCTATAGATAAACCGTAAATTGGTTTTAAAATAACATTGTATAACTTACCTTGACAACGTTTTTGTTTCAGTTTGACATAAAGTTTCGCTAAACGAAATTTGCCTTGATTGCTCAATTTGTCTACTTTTTTAACGAGCTACTTATTTAACGCATATAGGCGTTAAATAAGTATCCGTATACTAACGCATGCGCAAACATTACATTTTGTCTACTTTTTTAACGGGCTACTTATTTAACGCAACACCGTCATTAGAAAATAAGTATTAAAAATGGCGGCCAATCAAAGATTTTTAGTAAGGATTTAATAAACGATTCTGTAAAGTGATTTTTGTATAAAATGAATTATTTATGTGCTTGCAAATTATTGTTCAAATCAAGCATAGACAAATGATGTTTATTACAAATACAAAGATATAATAACAGATTTTTTATAATACTTAGACATTTTTTTTATATTACAAAAAAGTCTTAATTTTATCTTTAATTTATTTCTCATTGAGTAGCATTTTTAACAATCTATTTGTAAATTTTTCCTAACGATCTAATTGTAAATTAATTAAATTTTCTTTAAATATATTGTAATAAAAACAACAACAACAACAACAACAAAAAACAATAATTGCATGATTGAAATTTTTTTTTTTTGTCAAACACTTAATTAAACAGTAAAGTTTGCATATTAAAAAAGACTCAGGGGCCGCTAGATTTAAACTAACGAATAATTATGTTTCTCCGAAATTCAGCGCCACGGCTACGAAAGTCTTGTATTATTAGCGTTAAAAAGTATCACGTTGGAAGCCTAGATGTAATTCAATTTAAATTAGTTGTTTAGGGTAAATTATATTAGGCACGTCACGCTAAATTTATATGGAGATATTTAAAAGGGAATCTGACGCTTTTACACTAGATCAAAGAAAATATTCGTTTTTTAGTTAAAATATAATATTCGCTTTCATTGTTGATCAAAAAAAATATTCGCACTTGAAAGAAAGTAAACTCCTACCACTGTTTTAAAACAAAAATGCTTTGTATGCAAAATATAATCATTATAATGCATTTTAGCAAAAAAAAAAAAAAAACCAACAGAAACCTTGGATTGTTGCACTTCCACTGACAATCTAAATATCGAAAAACCAAGAAATAAAAATTTAAACAAATGAAATGCTATATTTCAAATATTTTATTACACAAAAGATTTGTTCATAATAAATTCATTCACGCAAGTCTTCTTACAATTTCATATTGCATTCAACAACGATAGCTCATAATTTCTCACCATGATGAACGTTTTTATCAGACACAACAAACAACGGCTGCTTTAGATTTTTATGCACTGCTTTATGTTTGTTCTGATGTAACACTAAGCTGCATATTGAAGTATGTAAAAAATCTTCTTTGCAAATACATTATGGAAATTTAGTTTCAACGGAATGAAGGAGTTTAAAAACTTTTATATTTTCTTTTAGTAGATTATATCAATTTTAATCAACAATCAGCATCTAAATCAAACAAAATCAAACATAAAATTAACTTGGTGAAAGTAATAGTACTACATATTCGGGTCCTTTAATATTATTATATCTGGTGATCGGGTAAAAATCCCGATACTTTAGTTCCATAAGCGCTTGAAAATTAAAAAATCAATAAAAACTGTCAGGTCAGGTTATCCTAACGTCAAGTCAGGTTATCCTGCCACTGGTAACATGTAATCCAGTATAACCTGCTTCATGTTAAGGTCAAGAAGGGCATCCTGTTGTAAAACATTGATTCAACTCTCTCATAATGACATTTATGTCATTATGAAAACCATCCGAACCACACAAGTGTGGAAAAATGTAAAACTTTAAAAAATAAAAATAAAAAAACTATACCTTCTTTAAACTTGTTTTAATTTTAATTCATTTAAAAACATTTATACTACTAACATTACAATAACATAACTAGGAGATTTCTAATTTAAGAAAGTGAAGAGAAGAGCAACAATTTTACTTACAGGGTGTTCATAAACACTGTTTTCAGGTGATGGATATATATATGGATTATAATACTTAAAAATTTAATATAGGGTCATGATGCGGAAATAAATGACAAAAGAGTTACGTATTCGGATTCCCACCGGGTTTAAAATTTCCAAAAACCGAGGACCTTTTTTTGTGCGTGTTTTTTTTTCCGTTTTTCGAGTCTATATCTATAAAATTCACAATAATTTGCAGAACAACAACAAAAATTATTCCCAATACCGCAAAAACGCTGTTTAAAATTAATTCCTGGCAAAATCAAATCAAAACAAATTTATTCTGAATAAGGTCTTACATCAAGGATATTTACAAATAGTAATGATACTAATCTGAAGTAAACACCTATAAAATTTAATTTAAATAAATAGTGATAACAATAAGTATAAAAATTAAGAAAAAAGTGATAAATATAAGAAAAGGAACAATAGTTATTGTAAAAATTATATAACGAAATTAACCACAAAAATAAAATTCATGATAACATCAACAATAATATTAACAATAATGAAAATTAAAATAAAATTAACAATAAAATCTATAATAATTATTATTATTAAATATAATAATAATAATAATAATAATAATAATAATAATAAGAATGTTGAAGGAACGATTTTTGAATTGATAGGAACGATTTCCGAAAGACATAGGAACGATTATTGAAAAGCGTAGGAACGATTTTTGAATAGGAACGATTATTGAAAGGCGTAGGAACGATTTTTGAGTACGCGCATTGTAAAGCCGTATGGGCTCTTTGATTTGTTTATATTTTTGCGTAACTAAATTATATTTGGTAATTCAACGTAATAATCGAAGAAAATTCTGACAAGTTTTAATTTTTAAAGCATTAAAGCCTTGGTAAATTAACATTTAATAATGTATTCAAATGTAAGTAATGATGCTCTTTAATATTTAAAATAATTTACTATTGTTATTTTTGTTTTTATATATATACCTTGGACTTTACTTTAGACCATAGTTTAAGGAATTGTTAAAGGTATATATAGACTATATTATAGTCTAAGGTATATACCTTAGTACAAAGGTACTAAAGCTTATTAGGTCTTTTTTTAGTAACTTAACTTTATTATGAAAAGGTTTTATTAATTATTTATTATATATCTACTATTATTTGCAAACTTAACATTGTATAATTTACGCAAAAGCACTAGGAAAAGGATTTAAATTATGATGTATTTTTTAAAATAAAGAAATAGCTCAGCTAAGTTAAAGCAAAATTTTAAATAGTCTCATAGGTTTTATGCTATCATTAATAAAAAAAAAGTTTGTGCTACTATGGGTAAAAAAAAATATAATATAGTTATGTGGGATAAAATTTTTAAAATTTTTTAGTAAATTTTTGACATAGATTTGTTGAAACAACTGTGACTAAATTATGGATTTTTCTTAACTTAAAATTTCATAACTTTGTCAATTCTTATCAACTAAATTTTGTAATCTTATTATCTTCAATGAGAAAAATATGTCAACTCAAATTTGTTTTCTTATTCTCTTCTGTGGGATAAATAATTTTTTCAAGCAAAAAATAACTGTTATTTATCTTAATATTAGCATTATATTTAAATTTTAATTGCTTACCATTTATTTTAAATGTCTTTGACAAATACGCTTATTGTCTTATTATTATTTTATTTTTTTTCAGGTCTCTTTTTTTTGTCCTTAAAGGGTTTAATAGTTTAATGCATTTGTGCCATAAACTGCAGATGTCAAAGGTTTTATGTTAAGTAGTTTTTCAAAATAACTCACTATTGTTTATAATTATAAAAGTATATACCTATTCTTAACACTTCCAGTGCTGTTGGCTGTTCAATCAATATTTATTTATGGAGGTAGTGCAAAAGTGAAAATTAAATAATTTTTAGCTTTACCATTAAAAAAACAACTTCTTTTTGGGTCACAAAACACAATAAAAAAATGGTAACTTGGAATTAAAATAAAAACAAAAAAAAAAACAAAAAAAAAAAAAACAACAACTGATAAATTTAGTTATAGATATTAGTCTATTATTGACTTTTCTTAAGACAATGAATAACAAGTATTTTATATGACCTATACCAAATACAGATATAAAAAATATAGATATCTAAACACAAATAACTCATTGTTAAACTATAACAATTGACAATCCTAGATTTATCTATAGGCAGACATCTAAACAAGCTGTGGTTAAATTATGGCAACTAAATAATATATGCATGATTAGGATAAAATCTAGTGAAATGAAAAAGTGACATGAAAAAATTCTGCACCTTTTTGAAATAGGGTTCCAAAAAGCAATTTGGCCTAGGGCCCCAATGGGAGTAAATCCGGCCTTGACAATAGAATAAGTTTTACTAAAAAATCAAACAATAAGTTACATGTCAATAATTCAGTCAATCTGTTATTGAAATGTCAAAAAAATCATTAAAGTTCTCAGATTAATGACTAATTTAAATTATTAGGTTATGGACAAATTTAGTTAAAAATTTACCTTATTTAAATAATGTGTAAGGAATACACTTAATAAGATAAGGATAAATGAATACTTAACTTTTACTATATTTCAAATAATATTTCTGATGTTTTCAATTATTAAAGATTTGTTACAATTATTTACAATAAAATAAGTAATAAAAAATAAAAAATTGCATTTATTTACTACTTGATAGCAATAATTTAATTGTTGAAAAATCTTTTATTTCTTCTTATTAAGTCAAACTTGTGTGGTAACAACATAAACAAATGTGCCCTCCCCTGGTTTAATTTGGGTTGGTTTTGCCAAAAATATATACCCATATAGAGCATTCTAAAAATGTACTTGCGCATCCAAATTTTTGGATGAAATTTGGCATGCGGCAAGAAAATTTTTTTTTTAACAGTTATAAACTGTTTTAAAAAAATTAACTAACATACCTTAGCTAAAACCTTGAGGCTTAATCAACAACAAGTTTTTAAAACACTAAAGTTTATAAAAAGTTTAACAATTATAAAAAAACAAGACCCAGAAAAAAGTTTAACTATTCTTCTTTTTAAATAATATTTAAGTTGATATCAAATTCTAAAAACTAAAGACCACTAAACTCGTTAAAAAACATGACACTGATTTAGGCAGAAAAAAAACGTTTCCATAAAAGTTGAAATAATGCATACCTAATAATAGCATATAATTTAAATAACAACAATGTTGTTGTCAATATATGTCCTTATCTCACAAACAGGTATTTATTTGCTAATTGTTTATTTCAAGTAAAATAAATTGACAACAACAATGCTATTTTTTTTAAATAGTACATTTTAAAATTTTTAATTCCAAAATCTGTTTTTAAAATTAGCATTGAAATATATTTAGAAGTTATATAGTAGTAATATATATATTGAGGAAAAAGTTAGACTTGACTTTATAAAAATATCACTGAAATTTTGACAGTTGTTGTTGTTGCTATATATATAGGGAAGAAAGTGGGTACAAAGGTTTCTGAAAATATAAATTCTGTTTTCCTACTATGCAATGAAATTGTTTATTTTATAAACAAAAACCTTGCTTTATAGAGAAGAAATCATGAAGTCAATATATTAACAGAGGAATTAAAATATTTTCGTGCTTGTAGTCAGGAAAACGAATTTAAAAAAGTTTTTATTGATAATGTAATAGGTTAGTTAGATCTTTTATTTTATTTTAAATTTTGACAAAAGATTTATGATCAAAATTTTTGTTGTTGTTGTTTAAATTTAAGTTAAATGCTGATTTAGGATATGGAGTTTTCACTATACGAGAGTTTAAAGCTGGCGATCCTTTGTTAGAGTATAAAGGAAATCTTATAACAAGAAAAGAAGCTAAAGAATTAAGCAAAAGTTATTCTGCAAAAAATAAAGGATGCTTTATTTTTGATGTTTACTGGAACAATAAAAATATGAGGTATCTTTTATAGCTTAATAGTAAATAAATAATGTAAATAAAAAAAAATATGCTACTGTTTAAACCTAGTTAGTCCTTAAAAATGTGTACTGATAAGTTTGAAACATTTATATAGTTTTTTCTTGATATTTTAGACAAACTTCAACATTAAGATGGTACCCCAAAAAATATATTAAAATCTGATTGGAACTAGAGCACACTTTCATTTTTACAACATAAATACGTAATTTTCAAAAGTTCTATCAAACTTGAAAATCTTTGCCTCGATTACCCCCAAAAAATTGAAAATAATTGAATTTTTGTGAAGTAATCACTCAAAATCTACTAGTTATTTTAACATGAAATTTGGAACATTTTTGAATTATGGAAATATAATTCATTTGAAGAGAATAAATGAAAAAAAATGAATATTTTAGAAGTTATGCATGAAACACTAAAAAGTAAGCGAGCTAAACAACACTAATATAACAAAATTTCAAGATCTAAAATGCTTTGAAAAAAAATCTTTTCTCAAATGAATTTTTATAATATGAAGAACAATCTGTGAAAATTTCAGCACTTTTGCATAATTATTTAAAAAGTTCTCATTTGGCAAATTTTGTAAACTAGTGGAAAAGTATATTTTGAGATTTAGTGATATAAAAATTAAAATTACTCAAAAAGCATAAAAAAATTATAATTTAAAATCCTCCAGGTTCATATGATATTTTTTCAGTTTTCTTAACATTTGTTTGAGTATCCTTTTTTAATACTTTTTTTTTTTTTTTTTTTTTTTTTTTTCGATACTTAGGTTCTAAATATAATTTTTATTTCAGGTTTTTTTCCAGTTTTTGTAGGATTGGTTTATTTTCTAATTTTTTCAATTAATTTCAATTTGTTCTTACGATTCAATAATTTAACTTCTTGTTTCATTTTCTAATTCAGTTATTATTTTACTTCTATCAAATGTTTCAGCAATTTTTTAAAAGGTATAACTTATTAAGTATCAATATAAAAGTTCCAAGACTAGATAAAGTATGGCAATTTGGCAAAATAAAAAATGGCAACGAGGTAAATGGTAAAATATATTGTTGCAGTGTATTAAAACACTTTCTTTTTTGAGAAAATTTTTCAACAAGAGTTGTGCAAAATGTTCCTTTATTATTCTTGTCCTTTACTTAGATTTATACAACATGGATTATACAACAAGATTTTTTATTGATTATACATTTTTATTGATTATACATGGATTATACAATAAGATTTTTTTACAATAAATTCAAGGTTCATTTTTATGTCCTTAAATGTATATATTCAGTATTCACTATTCATACAAGATTTATACAACATGGATTATACAACAAGATTTTTAAAATAGAGAACTTTTGATGTTTTGCTGTTGTTCATATTGGGAAAAATGAGGTTTGCAATAGTTTGCCGACCTGTTAGAGGTCGGCATCAAGTTAGCAAATAAAATTGATAGAAAGGTTATACCATAAAACATAGAAACAGGGTTGGCAATTTTTTGCTGATCTTATACATTTCTAGTTCAGCATTGCCAAATGCTAACTCTAATTCTAAGAGCTATCTTTCTTTAGCATTGATGCTACACAATCAACATGCATGGCTAAATTTATTAACGACTCTCCAGATAAATATGCCAATTGTCAACCCAAGACATGCGTTGTAAATGGAATACCCCATCTTTTGTTATATGCAAAAAAGGATATTGCTAAAGACTCAGAACTTAGATATAACTATGGGGACAGTTCTAATCAACAATGGAGAAAATTGGTAAATTTATTTACTTGCTTTTTTTTTTCTTTTCAATATTTTTATATAAAGTAATTTGTTTATGAAGTGATAAATTAAATATTTTAGAAATTAATAGTTTTGTAAAGTATTATTGCGATTTTAAATTAAAAAAAAAATTCTAGGCAAAGTATCAGGAACCATTTACTATGAGTGAAGTTAATGCATATCTACGAGGACAGGTAACTGTTCAATTCTACTAGAAACATTGTAATTTTTTTAAATTTAAGTTTTCTTTTTTAAATTTAAGTTTGTTCCTGATATGGAAGGTTTTAAAATTCTACATAGAAGGATATATGTGATTATTTTTTAGAAAATATTTATTTACATTATATTTCTTTTTAAATTTTTGTATTAAAGCCTTTGCAGAAAAATCGAATTCTAACAGCATCAATGGCAAGTTTTTTTCTTTATATACAATTTTTACTTCCAGTTTTATAAAATTACACTGAGAGTTAACACACAAAATTTGCTATTAACAGTGATCTATTCCTATCATCTGGTTTTTTATCACAAAACTTATACTGAAAATCCTTTGAACAAAATTTGCCAAAGATAAACTAAAAAATGAAGTAAAAATGCTAAATTTTATCTTTAAAATGTTTTAAGATGATCTAAAAGCTGTTTTTGAAATAAATAAAGCTAAAGATTTTTTTCGTCAATAAAATAGATTTTTCATATAAAATAGTTTTATTTTATTTAAGTGATATAATTGTTCAAAATTAAATTAGTTTTGATCAAGCTTAATCACGTTTTTTATCTTTACCAAAAATTTTTCGATAAAGCCCAAAGCACTTCAGTTAATTTTAATATAATTTTGCTTATTTAAACTTTGATTGACTTATCTAGACTTAGTTTTGCTTATCCTTACTTTAATCCATTTTTGAAAAAGAAATTAAATACAACTAACAAAAATTATAAATGTAAAAAATTGAGCTTCAATCTGCATGTCATAAATGAATGTCATCTACTGTGCATCCAGCAATTACTTTATCAAAAATGTTAAATCAAAGTACTATATATTTGTTTCATATAAAACAAATCAGAATAAATAAAAATCAATGTGATAAAATTATGAAAAAATTATTGATGCACTGTTTATATCAATTTTTGTGGGAAGTGTATTCTATAATAATTTTTCAGATATTTATACAAATTATATGATAATTTACTGTAGTTAATAGAAAATGATTAAATTATAATTATACAAGTAAGAATTATATTTGATTTTCAAATAAATATGTGTTATTTAAATACTGTTTTATTTTTAGTTGTTTTCATCATTTAATAATAAAAAGTCTGAGTTGAAAAAGGTTTGGTTTATTTGTATTTAAAGAAATTATTTTTTTATTCTTTATTGCTTTAAAAGTTTATTTACTATTTATGTTTTTTCTTAGGTTTAGTTCATTCTTTCAGATGTAATTAAAATGATTGTTAGAACTTGGTATATTTCCACTCTGTAGAAAATTATAGAGTCACTCAAACTAGATCTAAGGCCAGGTAAATAAAAAAAAGCAATTGTATTTTCTTAGTAATTGGTCAGCTTTATGTGAATAAATTCTTTAGCAATTTTGCTCATACTTTTATTCACATAGCTTTACGTGAATAAAATTTAAGCAAATTTGCTAATTTTTTTTTTTTTCTTGTGGAGATAAACAGTAACTTCAAAAACTCTAATTAAAATCAATTGCTTTTTTTTATATGCCCTGTCTCTATTCTCATGTCCATCCTTTTTTTTGATAAAATTTATCTTTTTTTTGGCTATACCAATTTGTATTGGTTGCAATTCAAACCAAAATTTGTAAACTTTTCTAGCTCTTATGATATATGTATAATTTTTACTCAATTCAGAAACAGTAGTTTCAGCTGGTGCAAGAACTTCAAAAAATTTTTTTCAGCGCAAGTATATCATTTTTTTAAAATTGATACACTTATTATATAGCTATAAGTCAAATTTGTATTTTACAAAAGCTTTTAAAAGTTACCTATTTAACATTACTCTCTAATTTTGATTTTCTTTCTTTTTCAAGAACATGATTAAAATGTCTAAAACATGTGTTGAAACAAAAATAAGTTTTACAGACATTTAAAACACTTTTTTTTTTGGAATTTAAATTCGTTTCCAACAAGGCTGCAAAAAACCTCTTATATATAAGAGGTTTTATTATAAGGCTATCAAAAAACCTCTGTTGGGAGTTTTTTCAAAAAACCTCTGTTGGGAGTTACTAGAATAACAAAGGATAGATTTAAAGAGCAGGGAAACAATTGACAGAAGACTTGAAAAGTTTTAGGTTGTATGAATCTGGACAGATACAGTAAAAGAAGGTGTTTTATACCGATTTGGTAAAAAAATGTTTAAATAATTATTATTATTATTGTAATTCTTATATTTAAAAAAATTCCTAATGCATTTTTGTTTGTTATTTTAAGGTTTATGTTTTGTTAAGAAAGTTATCTATAACTATAAAATTGCTAAAAAGCAGTTACTCATACTCAAAATTGATTATTGACTTATTTTGTATATTTTTATATTTTGTATCTTTTAAAGCTCTTATTTTTCTAATTGAATTTTAATGTTTTTATTTTATCCAATGTTTCGAAACAAAAGTTATTTACTTGGGATATGATTTAATTTGTTTTAAGTTTTTAATATTTTAATACTAACCTTATCTAAGTATTTTGTTAAATTAATATTTTGTTAATTTTTATAAGGTTTTTTTTGACCTTTAGGATTTAAATAGTTGCATTTTGTCATCTAATCAAATGAAAATCAATAATTTCAAAAAATGGTAAGGAAATATTTATAATGAATATTAAATCTAATGTTCTGTTTAATAAATTTAAATGTTGAGTTAATAGGTTATTTAATGAATAATAATATTCAAAAAATTTTAAAATTCCTATATAAATTCTAGTAAGGAAGATTTACCTGAAAAAAGTAATAAAGATACAATTTCAGGAGGCTTATCACAAGCATTGTAAGTTAACTGTTTTTTTGGTTATATGTTTTTTTTTTAACTTTTTACCTTGATTAGTGCATATCAATTAAGTGTTTTTAATTTTGGTTTGTAGTGGTTTTGAGAAGTGTACTGAGTTAGAAGAACAATATAATCAAGCATTAAAGTATGGAATAACCACATTATAATTAGTTTTGTAAACTTTTTAACAAAAACAAATATTTGTGTATTTATTTAATATTTCTGTTTATAGTAAGTCCTATTTAAGTTTCAGCAATGAAGATATTTTATTACCAGATGAAACATTTTTAAAAAACTCATCTCAGATATAGTAAGTTATTTAGTTTTTGCACAATTAATTTGGATTTAAAATTAAAAAATGACTCATTCTTAAACTTTGTCCAGATTTGTGCTTATTAATTAAATGTTTTTTAAATTTTGGTTTGTAGTAGTTTAGAAGAAAGTGCTTGTGAAGATAACTCTGAAAATTTGTATTCAAATTCAGTTAACAGGTTAGAGTTGTTTTGATCACAAAAGCAAAGTTGAATTTTTTATTTGTTTTTTCCAAATTATTAAATTTAAACTTTAAACTTAATTTTTAGTAAAAAAGTTTCACCTCGAATGATAGTTGCTGCCAGATGCTTGACAGATATATCAAAAAGAAAGTAAGTTAAGGTTTCTATTCTAGTAACACTTTTCCAGTTTATTTAGTTTTTCTTTGTAAGTTGATGCTTCTTGTTTTTTAAAACAAATACCATTTTGAAAAACGTTTCAAGTTTAAAAGTAGATTGATGTCATTTAGGTATTATGAATAAATCTTTTTCTAAAATTGAGATAATTTTCTTTATAGTGATTCTGAAACCAATATCTCTATGTTCACTAGTGAAACTTCACTCACAAGGTAAGTTCATTGCTTAGTTATAATATTATTTGTTGAAGCAAACAGTAAAAAAAGGAAATAAGTTACTTTTAATTCAAACATCACCATGAAATTTTTTTTTTTTGCTTTTTATTTTGTTGACAAATTTTGTTTTACAACCAATTGTTTTTAATTTCTATTACATTAAAACTGTTACATTTTGATTAACTTTTTTGTGGTAAGTTGATTTGTAATTTCTTATTTTTTAAACAGCAAATATTATTTTAAAAAAGAATTTTGAATTTTCTTTCAAGATAGAATAATGTTAGTTTGTATAAGTAAGTCATTTTTTAAATTGTATTATTGCTTTTTATATTGGTTTATAGTGATTCTATAGCAATAATTGCCATATAAATTCTAGCAATGAAGACTTACCTGGAAGAAGTAATAAAGATGCAGTTTCAGGAAGCTTATCACAAGTATTGTAAGTTTATTTAGTTTTATGGTTTGGTTTTGTTTTTCAATGAAAAAGATTATCTTTAAACTTTTTACCTTGATTAGTGCATATCAATTAAGTGTTTTTAATTTTGGTTTGTAGTGGTTTTGAGAAGTGTACTGAGTTAGAAGAACAATATAATCAAGCATTAAAGTATGGAATAACCACATTATAATTAGTTTTGTAAACTTTTTAACAAAAACAAATATTTGTGTATTTATTTAATATTTCTGTTTATAGTAAGTCCTATTTAAGTTTCAGCAATGAAGATATTTTATTACCAGATGAAACATTTTTAAAAAACTCATCTCAGATATAGTAAGTTATTTAGTTTTTGCACAATTAATTTGGATTTAAAATTAAAAAATGACTCATTCTTAAACTTTGTCCAGATTTGTGCTTATTAATTAAATGTTTTTTAAATTTTGGTTTGTAGTAGTTTAGAAGAAAGTGCTTGTGAAGATAACTCTGAAAATTTGTATTCAAATTCAGTTAACAGGTTAGAGTTGTTTTGATCACAAAAGCAAAGTTGAATTTTTTATTTGTTTTTTCCAAATTATTAAATTTAAACTTTAAACTTAATTTTTAGTAAAAAAGTTTCACCTCGAATGATAGTTGCTGCCAGATGCTTGACAGATATATCAAAAAGAAAGTAAGTTAAGGTTTCTATTCTAGTAACACTTTTCCAGTTTATTTAGTTTTTCTTTGTAAGTTGATGCTTCTTGTTTTTTAAAACAAATTTTGAAAAACGTTTCAAATTTAAAAGTAGATTGATGTCAAGAATAAATTTTTTAAAAATTTATTTAATATTTCAATTTTAAAAAAACTTTTTTAAAATTGAAATATTTCTTTTTATGATGGTTTATAGCGATTCTGAAAGCAATAATTTGATAAATGCTAATGAAACTCCACTTATAACGTAAGTTTATTGTTTAGTTATATTTTTTGATAAAGAAAATAAAAGCAACAGAAATATGATTGTTGACAAACTGATTTTTATTTTATGAACAATAAAACATGGATAATGCTGGTTTTCTAAATAAATTTTTTGTAAAGATTTTATATTCATACTTAAAAATTTTAATATTTGTAAATATAGTAATAATTAAAAAATTCTTTTTTAAATGTTTGGTTTGTAGATGCTTAGAACAGAGCGCTGATGTTTGTAATTCAAATAATAAATTATTAAAGTATGTAACTTTGCTTGTAATCTTTTAAATTCTTAAGTTTTTTCAATTTAAAAATTTTTCAGAAGTTTATACCTGATTGATTGTGGTTTATCGTTTTTTCGTATTTTGTTTATAGTGGGTTAGAAGAGAGCACTGTGATTGATTGGGGATGTAGCCAACATTTAATGTAAGAATGCTGCTTTTCTCTTTCAAATAACATAATAATTAAAAAGTTTGTTTTCTTTATTAAATTTTAATTATTAATATGAGATATGCACTAATTCCTGTAAGATATTTAGCTTTGAAGACTCAACAAAAATGATTAATGAAGATACAATATTAGCAGATATATTTCATATAGAGTAAGTTTAAAAAATGTTAAATACAACGAAGCAAAAGTAACTTATCTAAACAGATTAAATGTTGTGTGTACTTATTATGTTTTTTTTTTACTTGATTTGTAGTGCTTTAGAGCAGTGCACTAAGTTTGATGGACAAAGTAGTCTTAAAGTATTAAATTATGTGATTCACAAAATAGCTTAATTATTTCCTAATATTTTAATAATTAATATTTTAACATAATAATAATTAATTATAAATATGTATTAAATATCTCTGTTTACATCAGTATTTTTTTAAATTTCAGCAACCAAAACAATAAAATACAATGTAATAGAGAAACACTTACCGAAAATTCATCACAAATATAGTAAGTTGTTTATTTTTTACTATCTCTGTTAATTTGATTTAATATAAAATATGACATTTTGTCATTAAACTTTATGCTCTGGTTTATGCATATTAGTTAAAAGTTGTTAATTTTGTTTTGTAGTGGTTTAGTAGAAAGTACTTGTGAAAATAGTGCTAAAAGTTTGTTTTTAAAGTAAGTTTATAGATAGTGGGTAGTTTACTGCTTAGTTTTATTTTTATTCAAAGTTATTGCTTATTAAACAGAAATAAAGAAGTTTTTAAACTATTTTCAATTCTGAGTCAAAATTTTCAATAATTTGACTTAATTTTATATTAGATTTGAAAATAAGAAAGTTTGTCCTTTTTGTCATGAGTCAAAAGTAAAATTAACAGATCATGTAAACCGAGTACATAAACGTCCAATTGAAATTAGCAAAAGTGTTGTTGGTTTATATAACTTGAGAAAGGTTTGTGAAAAAAAAAGAACTAAATTAAAATGTAAAAATTACCATACAAAAAAAATGTGCCCTATACCAAATTGTTTCAAAATAACAAAAAATGTTGGAGAACACTTAAAAGGTAAAATGCATAATTTAAAACCTGGCCCTGAATATTATATGCTTCTAAAAAGTGCTAAGAGTTACAAATTACAAGATCCTTCTGAGTCACCAAGTAAAATTAAAGAAAAATACAAATCATTTTCTCCTGCAACTATATCAACTGTTACAAAAGATCAGCTACAAGTGGACTTTAATATTCAAACTCAAATAGCTACTGATCCATTTGAAAGAGAAGAATTAATAAAGTCTGACTCAAAAGAAGAAGAATTAAGAAAGTCTGATCAAGTTTTAAGCAGCCATTTATCTACTGAATCTACTGAACCATCAGTTGTTGATTTTGTTACTTTTAATAATAAAAATGAAATTGGTGATATTCAAAGTGATGCTTTTGATGAAGATGATAATAATGATGATGATGGTGATTATATACCCTCTGAGCAAGAGAGTGATGAAGAAACATTAAAAAAACTTTCTCCATCTATTGAAGATTTGTTAAACGATTTTTATCATTATCTTACAGGACCTGATAGAGCTAGAAAAAGTAGATCTATTGAAAGGGTTAAAAATGACGTTAAAAGGATTTTTTTGGCTGTTGGTTTAACAAATTCAATAAAATTATTGTTTGAAAATGACACAGATGTGATAAGAAAAAACTATCTTCAAGTATATTGTGTAAACAGAAAGTTAGAAGCTGGTTCAATTAAAACATACTTAAACTCTTTAAAAGATTTTTGTTCATATCTTATAAAATCAAAGTATCGTGAATTTGACCTGTCTTTTGAAACTATATTTCAAACTATTTTAAATATTGAAAATTGGAGAAAAAATTACCGTGCTAAAGACAGTATAAGAAAACATAAAAGAGCTGAAGATGACCTTTTAATGCTTGTTACCCCTGAACAGGTAAAGAAATATGAGCAGAGCAAAAATGCATCAACTGCAAAAAAATTACTTGAGGATTTGAAAAACAATCCGAATAAAGAATTGACTATGTTTGATTATTGTTGTTATAGGGACCATGTCTTTTTTATTATACACTTTGCCAGTGCCCATAGATCAGGTGTAACAGCAAATATGACTATGGAAGAATTTTTTAAAATGAAAGTTTTTAAAGATGGTATGAAAATGATAAATGTATGGGATCATAAAACTGTTTCAACTTATGGTCCAGCAAGAGTGACTTTAAATTCTATTGAATTTGAATGGATTGAAGTTTTTGTGAATCATGTTAGAACAAAATTACCTGCTATTCATTCAGATAAAGTATTTTTATCATGGTCTGGGAAAGAAATGTCTTCTGGGGATATAAGTGGAAGATTACATTCGCTTTGGGTGAAAGCTGGTAATTTTGATGGGCGCTTTGTACCCAAAAAGCTCTCTGCTAACATTGTCAGAAAAACAACTTCCACATTAGTTCGTAATAGCGAGTTTTATAAAGATAGAGGTGTTGTGGCTGACTCAATGATGCACAGTGAACTAACTGCTGCCACTCATTATCATACCAGAAGTCAAGAGCTTAATGCAATTACTGGTGGCAATATTGTGCGCAAAAATTTTTGTCGTTCCCCACTAACTAAAACAGACGAAGTTGATAAAAGTAGTTTAACTGAGGAAAAAAATGATCAGCTTCTTACGTCAGAGAACCTCTTAAGTAAAAATGATTTTAGTTTTTCTTTGATGAACACGCCTAAAAAAATCTGGAGTAAGGAAGAAACAAGTTCTTTAAATTTATTATTTCCTGATAATAAATCTCAAAATATATCGTATAACCAAGTAAAATCAATGCTTGCCAAATCTCCTTCAATTAACAGTTCACCTAGACAAGTTTATGACAAGCTGAAAAGAATGAAAAGAAAGTATCTGGAAGATATGCCAGAAGAATCAAAGGTTTTTTTCTTTTAATTTTTATTGGTTCGGTTTTAAGTCTTTTTTTCTTTTTTTTTCTTCTAAATTTTGCTTCGTAACTTCTCAAAATAATTATAATCTTATATATTGTTTAAATTTAATTTTTTTTCATACTAGGTCAAGAAAAATTTGCAGTTTGAACGCAAAACTTGGTCTTCTGAACAGATAAATGAGTTAAAAGTTAATGGAAAAGAATTAATTTTGGGAGGACCTTTATCACGAAGCCGAATTTTAAGTGTTCTAAAAAACTCTAAACTATTAAAAGATTTCACCATCACACAGTTGAGAACACGAATTAATCATGAACGAAATTAAACTTAGCTGTTTCTTGACTATAACTTATAAATAAACAGTTATTATTTTTTTATTTTTAAGTATTTAAATAAACATTCCAGCTTTGTTATTTCTTATATTAGGTTCCTTTTTTCAATATTAAGCTTAACTTTTATGATTACTAACGTGTGGCTTGGGAATGTTTCCATAAGGCCATTTCCTTATTTAAATACACCACTATGGAGAAATAGTTGAATCAGTTTTTACAACCAGATGTCTTTCATGGCATTAACCTGTTATGATGATCAGGACTAAGTATTTTTAATGTGATACACTAGGTATATTATCATACAAGGTTTGCAAGTTCCTCCAACTTTTCCCCACAAATAAATCAAGGGGTTTTATATCATAGCTTTCTTTGTCCTAGAAAAGTTGTCTTTGCCACAGTTAAAGAGCTTTACCTGCCATAATCAAGTATCAGTTTAACTTCATTACCAGAACAAGGATTGATTCATATATATTAAATGTTATCTTGCTTACATTCAATCACTAACAATATGATAAAATTTGAAAAAGTAGTTTTTACAAAAATGGGCAGAATTTTTAAATCATCATAAATAGAGACAATTTAAACTTAGATTAAGGTTTATTACTCTGTTAATTTGAAACTAATGACAAATTCTCTTAAATTATTTCAATCGAAAAAGATAATTTTCTAAAAAAAAGGAACACATGATAAAAGTGAATAAGAATGATTATTATGAATATGAATAAGGACTTTTTATGATGTCACTAACAAAAATTAAACCTAAAATATAATAGCACTGTTATTTTTACCTTTTTTATTATGACTGATAATAATTATTAATTTAATACTGATTAAGATTTTATAAAAACAAATTAAAAATCTAAGGAGAGCTCTTAAATTCAGTGTTATCCCTTGGACATCTTTTTAACACACATTTAAGATTAATTTTTAAATTAATCTTAAATGTGTTAATCTTAAATCTTTTAAATTAAATTTTAAATAACTACAAGCAATCTCTCACAGTAAATGACAATACAGTTACAGTTGCAGACAACGTCTTACAGTCTTACAGTTAATGACAACCAATAGAGTAAAGTTTTTACTGTCAATTGAAAACAACGTTTAAAATGCCAACTCAATCTAGTTAGTGTGTAAAATAGTTGTATTTATTCATATTATATAATATAAACTATTGGTGCCACCAGTTAGTGCTAGTGAATATTTTAATATTGTTGTATTTCTATTACAACAAAATAATAAACTTAAATGATGTACTCTTTTTTTTTGCAGTTGAAACCAATGAAAGTTTCTTTCAGAAATTAATGGCAGTGAAGTGGTACCTACAGTTGCAGCTCAAAATAAGTAGGTTTGAAACTGTCTTTGTGTTGATTGTGTTCTTTCTTTTAATATTTTCTTTACTTGATAAAATTAGTAAACTTTGGCCAAATTTAATTAGTAATTTAGTAATTTGCCTTTCATTTTTGTTTTTCAGTTCTACTTATAGAGCAATACGTGGTATAGATACAAAGACGTGGTATTAAAAAATGCTACAGTTAAAAAAAATCGTTTTACGATTTTTTTGAGGTAATTGTGAGCCTAAGGCTGATGATAAATAGTACATCTGGCTCCGTATATATGTATACACACAAACACACACAAGCTATTTACAAATCGATATTTCTATATTTAGGGTAAACTTTAGGCAAAGAATGCGAGGAACTGTTAAACTGTTATGAACATATTATGCACTATACCATATCATGCACTACACGTGGCGCTCAGTTTACTCGACGATCCAACTTAACAGGATATTATCCATTTTTCTAATATATATACATAGATGCAAAGTATTCAAAATGATTATATTGTTATTTATATATTTAGGATACATTTAAACTAAAGACTATGAAGAGCTGTAAAACTGCTATTGGCAACAGTTGATAATACTAGACGCATGTGTTAGTAAGTAATTTGAATCTCTGGTTGGAATTCTTTTAAATGCTTTTATGCTTTTTACCCATTGTTGCTGTGGAAAAGCTCAATACCAAAGATTTAATAAAGGCAGAGTTAGGCAGGGTCGAAGGATATTTTTCGAACTAATAATCCATTGTAGTGAAAAACGAACTAGTTCAATCTTTTAAAAAAAAAAAGTTTTTTAGATCATAATCGTCTTTGAAGTAAAAAAGTAAACATGCCCAGTGGGCACAAGAAGCGTTTTAAACGTCTAAATCACGTATTAAAACGTTTTAATACATATTCTAGACGTTTAAAACACGTCTCGTGCCCATTGGGTGATTTGAAGTAAATTTCCATTTGTTTTATTTTTTTCAAGAAAAAAAATTTGAAACTAAATCTGTAGTTTTTTTTTTTTTTTTTAAAGCAACATTTAATTTTTCTTGCCGCCATTTGTGCTATAAATTGCTGACAACGTTATTTTATTGCATAAATATGTAACTCTAAACTTTCAAAATTCAATTAACACC